CTGAAAAGTGAATAGAGGTCTGTTGTCTTAATCCAGAAATGAGAGAACATCCTAATGGTGACTGTAGGCTAGAAAGCACGCAAAAGAAACAGCATGTGGCACTTGAACCCACATGTTGATTGCTGTGCATGTTACTAGCAGGGATCTATTTTCCTTGTGTTCTCAGAAATCTCTGCCTTGCCTTGCCTACATGGAGAGCTGCTACATCACTGGTGCTGCCAGATGCTCTTGCAGTACAGCTAGCTTGAAATAAATACTCTGTACCTCATTGATCACTTGATAAAACCTGATGCCTTATTGATTTGAGGATTGTGATTGCAGGCTGTGAATCTGAACTAGTTTAAAGTCCATTTTGGCACCAGGTGGGTTTCCAGTGCAGGCTGTCCCTGTCCTTGCAGCTTGCACATCAGCCACTGTCAAAAGCAGACTGCTTAGAAGTAGGGTCCAAAACTAAGAGAATAATCCACATTGTGTGACACAAGTTAGCACACTGATTTTGGAAGCTGCTTTCTCACACTTGAGGGTGCAGCTCATGTTACTGAATCCAGTCTAACTGGACTGCCCTTGAAAGAAATGGACCTGCTTCCTCTGCTGTCTTTTCTGACCCACTTTCTCACTGCAGATCTCATGTAGCCAGGGCAAGTTAGGCCAGTTCCTTGACTCTACAAAAACAGGCTTGCTTAAGCTTTCAATAGTGGTACAATTCCTAAAAGGATTTATGTGCGTTTGCATGTTGAGACTACCCCAAGTTAAGACTTTCTGGTTACCTATCTAGATGTTGTTTTGTGGAGGTACCTTCCTTCTCTGTCCTTTGAATCTCAGGTGGCAATCTGTATCTTCTCCTTACCTATGGAAAGAGAGACACTAATAATGCCACAAATAACAGAATGTGGAATCACTCTGTGACACTCTGAGATCAAAATTTAGCTCTGCCACCTACTGCCTGCATATTGCTGGGTGGTTTTGAGCTCTTAGGCCAGATACTGCCTCTTCTGTTCCACCCCAGTTTTTTCTGTGTCTGATTATATCCTAAAATCTTTAGGGATTGTAAATCAGGTAGACAAGCCTTAGCAGGACTAATCTGCCTCCTTTGCCTTCCCACAAGCTTTGTTTTGTTAGTAAGAAATCTTTGTGTGTATCCTTAATGAAACAAACTGCAAAGCTAACAGTGGACTTGGGGTACTGGAAGGCAGTTGGTTCTCTAGGTATTCATAGAATGCTTTGGGTTGGAAAGTACCTGAAAGATCATCTAGTTCCAACCCCCCTGCCATGGGCAGGGACACCTCCCACCAGGCCAAGTTGTGCAAAGCCCCATCCAGCCTGGTCTTGAACACCTCCAGTGACGAAGCATTCAAGACTTTCCTGGGCACCCTGTTCCAGTGTGTCACTACCCTCACAGTGAAGCAACTTCTTCTGAATCTCTAAGTCACCTCTCTTCCACTTTGAACCAATTACCTCATATCCTACCACTGCAAGCCTTTGTAAAAATCTCCCTCCCCAGCTTTATTGTAGGCCCCCTTCTGATACTAGAAGGCTGCAGTAAGGTCTCACTGGAGCCTTCTCCAGGCTGAACAACCCCAACTCTCTCAGCCTGTCCTTGCAGGAGTGGTGTTCCAGCCCTCTGATCACTTTTGAGACCCTCCTTCATGGTCCATGTCCTCCTTGTACTGGGGGCCTCCAGAGCATGGAGCCATGTTTGTCACTATTGTCTTAAACTGTGCCTTTGGCTCTTGCTTGCCAGTATTCTCACACAGCCTCTGAGCTGCCTGGCCTTGTCAGTTTTTGGATTGGTTGTAGGTAGAACTCTCTACAGTGGCCTTCAGGATGCCTATTGTATGTTAAAAAAAAAAAAAAACCAAACCTGTGAACTGGAGTGGAACTGTTGCTAGATGCACAGACTCTATTGATCTTCATGGTCTTTTGAGACTGTTTCAGTCCTGGATCTGAGAACTGCCTCTCAGCAGCTGACTAAAAATGGGGTTTTCATAGTCGACTGGACAACTGAAAGTGTTTTTTCTAGTTGTGTTATCTACTGCCTGAGGAAGACTTTGAAGTTTTTGGTTTTGAACAAGAGTTCTAAAAAGAGCAGACTCACACCAGACTATTGCATTTTTGGTATTTACTACTCACAATTTTGGCTTGTAGCTGGTAGTGGCTTTTTATGATGAATCATCTGTTGTGTACTCTCTAGGGTTAAAAATCTTGTATATGAAAAGATTCATTTCTGGTTTTTGATGTAGAGAGCTAATCTGATCTGGATTCTCACAAATGTTTAGTTTTGTTTTTTTATATATATGTAGATTTGTTATGTTTTGAGACATGAATAACAATTAAACCCACTGAGTTTTTACATGACCTTTTTCTACCTGTTCCAGACCAAGGAGCTCAGGTAGCTTGTACCTGGACACTCCAGTTGGATATAAGCAAGTAAAGCCTTAAAGCTGGAATTACCTTCTCATTTAAGGAGGGGGGAATTTGAAAAAGAATGAGGTCTTCAGAGAAGCAGATGAATATTTTCTTGTGAAGAGGGATGAGCAAATCTTTGTCTCAGAACAGGACTCAAACCACCCTTTTGCAGTGCTGTATCTGAAATAATCTGAATGGGCCTTTCTGAGGAAATATTCTGTGGTGGGTTGAAAACTGTATCAGTGCTTTGTATTTAGGTGTTTACTGATGGCTTTCCAGGTGGTTATGAGGTAGGTGCAGGGTTTGTGCTGACTCAGGTTCTTCCCAGGCACTTCACTTTTGTTTTCAGTTTGGTTTGTTTCTCATTAAGGCAGTTTTTTTTTTTTCTGGACAGCAGACTTGTGAATTACTGATATTTTTTTTACTCATTCCTCACTTGTGGACAGTTTGTCAGGTTATTAACTAGAGTGTTTTCTGAATGTGGTGCTTCCACATTTGCCTGTTAAAGATGTCCTAACATACATCTGAAGGTGCCTCTTGAAGCTATTTTAAACTGCCATGGGTTTGTTTGGTTTTTTTTTAATTGCTTTTTCCAGTTCCTTGGTCTCCCCTTGTAATATGACAGTCTCTTGAACGGTAACTCTTCCCAGCACTATTTAATTCTTAAACTAAACACTGAACATTGTAAGTTTTTTGGGGGTGGGTGTGTTTTGACACAAGTTTACTGAAACAAAACTCTAAACGTCATCTCAAATGCAGGAGAACTTGGATAAAGCTTCATTATTCTGATTCTTCCTTCTGAAAAATAACTTTCTAACTTATTTTAATAGATTAAATATGGCAGATGTAAAAACTTCTTGTGTTCTTGAGTATATTGATTTGGGTACTGTGTGATCTATGTATCCCAATACCAGTCATGCTGAAGGCTGCCAGTGATGCAAATTAAAGGTCAGTCCTTAGTATGTGTGGCAAAACAACTTCTACCACAAGATTTATGTTAATGAAGAATGGGCTAAAAATTTTTGGTAGTTTAAAACATGGTATATAGTGGAAATTTTCATTCTGCCTCTGGTGCTTTGCAGTAGTGAGGAGTGTGTAAATGGAGTTAGGAAATCTCTGTTGTGGTATAGCTGTGTTCTTGCCAACGTCATACCATATTTTCAGAATTCTCAAGTCATGATCTTATCTAAGATAACAGTTGTGATGCTGTAGAAGCTGTTGATGCTGGAGTTTGGCAGTTGTATGGTATCGTGAGAAACGTTTTGAACAGATTTCTAATGCTGATGAGCCTTTCTGACTTACCTGCTGTTTAACTGTAGCCTTTTTCCATTAATATTTAGACCAAGTCATCTTGCCAGCCTCTCTAGAACTTGGTGTAGCTGACAGTTCATTTTAAATGCAGTCACCAAAATAATGAGTAGTGCAATACCTCCTACAAAGCATCCATGAAATGACCTTCACAGAGGTGGTGTTGAAATGTTCCCATGGTTAAGATGAAAACCCCTTCCTTTGAGAGTTGTTCTCAGATTCCAAATATTAAGCTTTATAGTTGTGCTCAGCTACTTCTACACAGCAGCTCAGCTTTTAGCCATAAACTTCCTAAGTTATTTTTGTTTTAACTGCCATAGATTAAATATGGCAGATGTAAGAACTTCTTGTTTTTTTGAGCAAATTGATTCTGGGTGCTCTATAGTATTCTTGTATCTCTATATATTCCAAATCTTTCTCCACTTAGTTATCTTGAGGGGATTCTTAGTTATCTTGAGGGGATTACTTTATATGAGAGCTGTTAATTTGTGTTTTCTTTTTTTTCATCCTAGTGTTTTTTCCACAGCTTCGTGGCCAGGAGGGTGACTTAGTTTTTTTTTTTTTTTAAAGTGTTCATTGTAGGAAGGTACTGGCTGTCCAGTGAAATTCAGTGGAATTTTGCAATTCTGTGCAGGGAGTGACTGGATATAGAAGATTTTAAAAATAAACAAACAACAAACTGAACCAAAACCACAAAAAGAACAAAGAAAAAAAAAATTAAAAAAAAAAAAACCAAAAAACAACACAACAAAACAAACACAACCCCAGACACCCACAACCAAAATTCTCTTATTTTAGAAATATTAAATATTTTTTAAATTACATTACTATATTAGTTATGTCTGTCTGAAAGTGACAGAGTTCAGTGAAACTTAAAAATTAGACAGTGGTTTGCAATCAGCCTTTTAATTATTACTAATCGTTGTTTAATTCCATTGGCTAACTGTGGGATTTTTTAATACTGTTTTTCTTCTTCCTTGTCAAATTTCTCAAGTTGAGAAATCATTGTCTGAGATACCCAGTGGCCTTTCAACACAGACTGTTGTAGGAGAGTGAAGTAGTAGAGAGTGGTCTTCTCTAGTACAGACTCTGTAAAGCTTAGAAATCACTTTTATCATGACAAATTGAACAATTTTCAGTAATGACTGATAAGGGAATTTTGCTGGAACATGGAAGGTGAAGTGTTGCTAGTTACTTGAAACAAGCAGATAGAAATTAATGAGCAAGAATTTTCTTCAAGACATTACTGATTGCTCTGACCTCACACAAAACGTTTTATTTTCCAGATTTTGGATCACTCTTCGATCTGGAACATGACTTGCCAGATGAACTGATCAGCTCCACAGAACTAGGACTTGCTAATGGTGGTGACATTAATCAGCTTCAGACCAGCCTTGGCCTGGCACAAGATGCTGCCTCTAAACACAAGCAGCTATCTGAACTTTTACGGGCTGGGAGCTCCCCAAATCTCAATATGGGCGTTGGTGGCCCTGGCCAGGGCATGGCCAGTCAAACCCAACAGAACAGTCCTGGGATGGGCATGTTGAACAGCATGGTGAAAAGCCCCATGGCACAGGCTGGCTTGACTTCTCCCAACATGGCCATGGGTGCCAGCGGCCCAAACCAGGGTCCTGCAGCCCAGTCCACAGC